CCGGGGGCCCCCCCCGCCTCCCCCCCCACCCCCCCCGTGCACAAATTTTTGTGCACCGGGCCTCTAGTATAATATGATGGTAGAAGGTTTATTTTTTGTGTTTTGTTTGTTTTCTTTTTATTTTTTTAAGGAATTGGCAAGATCCCAAGGAATGTGATAGAATGCCTCTTTTGATTTAAATAGCTAAAACTTTTTAGTTTTAAACAATTTGATCCACCAAAGAATCAAATAAGTAAATTTGATTTTTTTTTATCACAAGACAGTGATAATTTTTTTTAAAAGTATTTAAATTATCACTAACTATAATCTAAACAACTCTTTGGAGGTGTTGGTAACTTACTGAAGAGGAAATTTATCTTTTAAGAGGCTAACTGATTTCTTAAAAGTTCACAGCTAAGATGGGTCTTATGACTCCAGCATTCTTTTCCCCTACAACAGAGGTTGGTAGGTAAATATATCAGCTTTCTCAGATAATTTCCCTTGGCATAATATCAATAGTTACTTCTTTTAAGTACTCTGAAATTACTGTATAGTAGGAGAGTCTCAAAATACTATGTTTATGCTATGCACATAATTTTTCTTAGTGATACTTTTAAATGTCTTTAAATATTACTTAGGAAACTATCTTGTAAGACATTATATTTAAATGGAAAGAGTTAATTAAAATTCATTATCCTTTTTAGTGTGGCTAATATAACTTATTGTCAGTAATTTTAAATGAAAACCAAAAATGCATAGACTATCTTTAGATATTTTATTTAGGCTTATTTTGTGAAGGATTTAGAGAAATTATAAAATTAGTTTTTATCTTAAGAAAATAGTTTAAAATAATTATTTTGAGTAATTATAAAACTTGACCGTACTTAAGCTTTGATAAGAAATGTTCAAACATGAAATACATGAGTTGTATTTCATATGTAAGGGGAATGATGATCTATTATGTGAACAAGAGGTTGTAAGATATTGGCAGTTTTATGTCATGTATTTTCTAATTTTTCTTTTTAACATATAAACATGATTTTATCTGAAAATATCCAAATATGAACACACTAGGTATTTTCTAATTTTAAAATAATATGTACTAATTAAATAGTAAAAAGTAAAAATAAAAGTAGGGGATTAAGACTATTCCTAATCTGTTATTAAGTTCAGTCTATATATTGTTCTAGATACTCATTCTTTTTCAAGGCAAAAAATTTCTTAAGATAATTTTTTTGTATTTTTTAAAATTTTAATGTACTTTTAAAATAGTAAATATTTTGTGAATATTTATATTGTGGGTAACATTACAGAGATTTGGAATAGTGTAATTTTATGTAAAATTATACTCTGTAGAAACAAAAAGTCATCAATTTACTATTGCAAAATGTAATTTTTTCTTGGTATATATGTATATTTTATAATTTACAGTTTTAAAATGTTAAATGTAAAATGTGCAGTTAATAAGCATGTATATAAGTCACTTTGTGTCAGAAAAAAGGGAAGGTAAGAGTTCTAGCTAAACTTTTGGCAGAGATATATCTGTTCCTCTGCGTTTTTTAAGGCTAGGACTTAAGTTCAAAAGGGAAAATGATGCATTTTAATGGGAAAAAAAAAGTCATGCTTAAAAGTAAATTTAACTATTTGTTCATTACCCAAGTTCAGATGACAAAGCGTTGCCAAATTAAATCCTAGAATTATTTGACTATGTTTCTATTTTCATAGACATACAGGGTGAGGTAAAAGTAAGTTTACAGTTGTTCGTATGGAAAATAATATAATAATTAATAAATAATACAAGATAAACTTGTTTCCCATACTCACAACTGTAAACCTACTTTTGCCCCACCTTGTACCCTAATCTGAGTTCACATATTTGAAATACTACGTTATTATATGCAATTAGATGAGATGAAGTCTGTCTTTTTACATCTTACAATCTTGTGTTTAGTAATTCATGAATTTTATGGTATGATCTCTTAAGTTGAACATTTTTATTTTTTATTTATTTTTATAAGAAATGTATGTGTTATTTACATATACCACATATGTCTAAATATATAATTATACATATCAACAATTGTGTTATATATGTCACTTATGAATCTATGCTTGAAAACAATATTAAAGTGTATTACTTAATATAATTACTTCTTACTTTAGTAAAAACTAAAGTAAGTGAAAGAAGGAACCCAAAAGTGTAAGTTTGGAAAACTGAAAGTCACTTTCTGACATGATGAATTTACTTGTGTGTATAAACTTGACCTTTAGTTATAATATGCTTTAGAATGTGGGAAAAAGAGTCTCAGGCCATTGTCTATGTACGTTAAGGAGCTTATTCCCCTCATTAAATGGTTATGCCAAGGGGTGACATACTCACAATAAGGATAAAATGAGAATCATCTCCCCCTTCAAAGCCTATACAGCACTACAAAGTTAGTTGCCTTGGCTCTGAAGATGTAGGTAATTGGACTTGCCCCTGAGGAGTTGTATTATGGTTTTGAAGCTGAAATCTGTGTCTCTTTAATGGTCCAGTAAATCTTAACTTGGGAATTTAGTTTTAAAATGTGTTGGATTTGTGTTGTCTATAATTCCTGGCAGAATCAAAAATACATTCTATATTTAAGAAGGTGTCTTCAACTTTAGCCTCAAAGATCCCCCTTCAGTAACTCTATAAGCACCACAAGTCAAATTTACCAAGCATACTTGGGAAAATGTTACTGTGAGAATCAGCAAAAATTATAGGCAGCAAAAATGTACCCATTTCTTTAGACATTGTGATTGATGGAATTATGCTTAGGTTTTATTGGGGAAAGTTGCTCAGAGTATGGCACTCTTATTTATTTTTTTTACCATTTTTTTTCTTTGTTTTTAGCATTGACACTAATACAGACATGCCCCATTTTTCCTTCATTTCCTTTCTTCTGGCCATCACCACACTGTTTCCTGTGTCCATGGGTTATGCATATACTACAGGCCCAGTGCACAAAATTTGTGCATGGGGAAGGGGGTGTTCCTCAGCCCAGCCTGCACCCTCTCCAATCTGGGAACCCTCTCACAATCCAGTTCTGCTGGCACCCAACCACTTCCGGTCACATCTAACTTCCCTCCCTTGCTATCCCAATTGCCCCTAACTGTCCTGCCCTGCAGGTCTGGGTCTCCCCCAGCTGCCATCCTCTGCCAGCCCAGTCCCCTCAACTGTCCCCCCCCTGCAGGCCTGATCCCTCCTAACTGCCCTCCCCTGCAGGCCTGATCACCCACAACTGCCCTCCCCTGCCAGCCATCTTGTGTCCACATGAGGGTGGCCATCTTGTGTGTTGGAGTGATGGTCAATTTGCATATTGCCTCTTTATTAGATAGGATGTCCTGTGGCTAAGCTTTTAAAGGAAATGCTTGAAAATATGACCTAACACATTTGAAAAAGAAATATCCTTTGGAAATGAAAATTAAAATATTTAAAAAAACACAACACAGGTTTAATAACAGATTAGAAATAGCTAGACTGGAAGATATATAAGAAGAAAGTATCCAACCTGTAACAGTCAGCTAAAAAGATGGGAAAAAGTTGCAAGATATGGAAAATAAACTGAATAGGTCTAACGTACACTAATTGATATTGTAGGAGAGGAGAGAGTGGGTCAGAGA